CAGGCAAAGGGCAGGGATCAAGGGTGGGACTAACCCAGGCCTGCTTTATTTTTTATTTTTATTTTTAATTTTTTTTAGAGATAGAGTCTCCTTCTGTGTCGTCCTGGCTGGAGTGCAGTGGCGCTATCTCGCTCACTGCAAGCTCCGCCTCCCGGGGTCACGCCATTCTCCTGCCTCAGCCTCCCAAGTAGCTGGGACTATAGGCGCCCGCCACCATGCCTGGCAAATTTTTGTATTTTTAGTAGAGACGGGGTTTCACCATGTTAGCCAGGATGGTCTCGATCTCCTGACCTCGTGATCCACCCGTGTCAGCCTCTCAAAGTGCTGAGATTACAGGCGTGAGCCACCGCGCCCGGCATCAGCCCTGCTTTTAAGAAGCCTGTGGGCTGGAGGAGGGGAAGGGAGGCATCTGGATGCCTGATAAAGGGGAAATCGGGAGAGAACACTTGATTGGGTGTGCTTGAGAAAGCCGTGACACTGGATGAGCGGGATTTGATAAGATGGGGGCAGGGTGTGGGGGGATGATGAAGTGAGAATGCTGTTGTTTTAGTCAAAACCTGTTTTGAATCTTGACTCCAGCACCTACTAGCTCTGTGACTTGGGCCTGTTATTGAATCTTCAGAGCCTTGGTTTCTTCATGGACAAAGCGTGAATGCAGATAGTAACAGAGCTGTAGGGGGTCTGATGATGGATGTAAAACCCAAGCATACCCTGTATGGCTGAGGAATAGTATATAGTTATCCTAGAGTATCTTAGGTGGCAGGAACAGCATGAAAAAAAGTGTGGAGGTGGCATTTAAAAAGGAATTGATGGATGGCAGACAAGAGGGGCTAGGATATTCCACGTGGCAAAAGGCATAAAGTTTGGGTGCTGGAAAGACAATTTCAATCATGGATTTGGCAGAAAGGTCAATGATTTTTATTTTTGATTGATGTTGCCCCAGCTGCATCTAACTCCTGGCCCTAAGTGATCCTTCTGCCTTGGCCTTCCAAAGTGCTAAAATTATAGGCATAAGCCACCACGCTCCACCTAGTGACTGATCTTTAAAGATCATGAAACCACACGGTGGCTCACTCCTGTAACCCCAGCACTTCAGGAAGCCAAGGCGGGAGGATCACTTGAGGTCAGGAGTTCAAGACCAGCCTGGCCAACGTGGCGAAACCCTGTCTGTACAAAAAATACAAAAATTAGTCAGGCATGGTGGCGCACGCCTGTGATCCCAACTACTTGGGAGGCTGAGGCAGGAAAATTTCTTGAACCTGGGAGGCGGAGGTTGCAGTGAGTCAAGAACCCACCACTGTACTCTAGCCTGGGCGACAGAGTGAGACCCTGTCTCAAAAAAATAAAAAATAAAAATAAATAAATAAATAAATATCATGAAACCAAACTTCAGAGAAATGGAAAGAAAATGGTTAATGTAGGCCAGGCGCAGTGGCTCACGCCTGTAATCCCAGCACTTTGGGAGGCTGAGGCGGGCGGATCACGAGGTCATGAGTTGAAGACCAGCTTGATCAACATGGTGAAACCCCGTCTCTACTAAAAATACAAAAATTAGCTGAGCGTGGTGGCACATGCCTGTAATCCCAGCTGCTCGGGAGACTGAAGCAGGAGAATTGCTTGAACCTGGGAGGCAGAGGTTGCAGTGAGCTGAGATTGTGCCACCGCACTTCAGCATGGGCAATGGAGGGAGACTCTGTCTCAAAAAAAAAAAAAAGAAAGAAAAAAGAAAATGGCTACTGTGGGCCGGGCACAGTAGTGGCTCACACCTGTAATCCCGACACTTTGGGAGGCCGAGGCAGGCAGATCACTTGAGGTCAGGAGTTCGAGACCAGCCTGGCCAATATGGTGAAACCCCATCTCTACGAAAAATACAAAAATTAGACTGGGCGTGGTGGCTCATGCCTGTAATCCCAGTACTTTGGGAGGCCGAGGCGGGCGGATCACGAGGTCAGGAGTTCGAAACCAGCCTGACCAATATGGTGAAGCCCCGTCTCTACTAAATATACAAAAAAAATTATGGCCGGGCGCAGTGGCTCACGCCTGTAATCCCAACACTTTGGGAGGCCGAGGCGGATGAATCATGAGGTCAGGAGATTGAGACCATCCTGGCTAACACTGTGAAACCCTGTCTCTACTAAAAATACAAAAAATAAGCCAGGTGCGGTGGCAGGCGCCTGTAGTCCC